ACACACACACACACACACACACACACACACACACACACACATACACACACACCAAAAAGCAAAGTGTTACCCTGTTACAAATTGGCGGGTATTTGTGGAGTAGGAACACATTGGAGCATGGGGGATGTATGAAATCTCTGTCCTGTCTTGCAATCATTCAGCATGGAACAGTAGAAAGATTAAATGTGCTATACTATATGGTGGCCACTGAACACAGAAGGGATATGCTTAAGCCCTCTTGCACCTCTTCATCCCCTCCTCGCATATCTGGGACTTCCTCCATCTAGTCTAGACAAAGCACTGTCCCTCAACCCGGAGCAATACAGATGTTGTTCACAGCTGTGCCGCTTCTATTCCACAAGTGTGCTTTAAAATGCCAGCGTTTGTGGAAAAAAAATGGGCCCTTGGGCTTACTGATTTTATCTCCCCGTCTTTTCCTCGTTGTATTTATAAGTTATAAACTGAACAGCCCTTGTTGTCTGAGACTCTCGCTATTTAATATCTTAATGTATTTTAAAGGGCAAACCTCAACAACAAGCTGTTACAGGCCAGGATTCCGCTGTGACGCTCGCTTCACAGTGTGCCGCACGGAAGGCGGTTCCACCCTGGTGGCATCTGAACGCCTTCGCGCGCGCATCTTTTTCCTTCCCTTTGCTCGTACTTTCTGATCTTAGAAAAGCGCTGAATCTGCCCGCAGTGTGACGCGTTAATTAATGTGTTTATCATCTCTTCCAAACGGCTTGAAGCAAGGGCGGGGGCGGGGGGAACATCCTAAGGCTTTCGAGTCGGTTCATCCCTGTTTTTCTCTGTTCCCGGGCCTGCCAGGCTGGCTCCCACAGGATCAGACTGTACGAGAGGGAAGACTACAGAGGCCAGATGGTAGAGTTCACTGAGGACTGCCCCTCTCTCCAGGACCGATTCCACTTCAACGAGATCTACTCCCTCAATGTGCTGGAGGGCTGCTGGGTCCTCTATGAGATGCCCAACTACCGGGGCCGGCAGTACCTGCTGAGGCCGGGAGAGTACAGGCGCTACCATGACTGGGGCGCCATGAACGCCAGGGTGGGCTCTCTGAGGAGAGTCATGGATTTCTATTGAATTGGTTTTTTACTCTACCCTTTCTCCATCTGGAAGCTAATAAAATATTTTCTGTGTGTTCCCGCACTGATTCGCTTCTGGCATTTCTTTTTCTTTCCTGTTTATATTTATTGGTTCAAAACAGGCTCTCAGAGCTATGTAGCCCATGCTGGCCTCAAAACTTGTGATCGTGTGTGTGTGTGTGTGTGTGTGTGTGTGTGTGTGTGTGTGTGTATGAGGTGTGTATGCAAGTATGTGCATGCATATGTGTTTGTGTGATTTATGTGCATGTGTTCAGCCCATATATATATAGAACCTGGAGGTTAACCTGGTTGTTATTTGGGAGCCATCTACTTTGGGTCCCTTTGAAACAGGCCTCTTGCTGACCTGGCCTAATGAATAGGCCAGAATGACTGGCCAGAAGGGCCCAGAGAGATTCCTCTCTGACATCATGATGCTTAGATTACAAGCATCAGCTACCAGGCCAGGATTTTCACATGGGTCTGGCATCAAGCTCAGATCCTCATGATCTCGAAGCAAGTACTATATGGACTGATCCATCTCTCTAGTTCAAACTTAAGATGCTTTTGACTCAGCCTTCCTGCTATGGGATTACAGATTTGCACCACCCTGCCCAGCTCATTATTTTGCTTAAATGTGAATGCACACATGCAAACACACACACACACACACACACACACACACACACACACACACACACACAGTGCAAGTGACAACTAAAATGTGTGCTCCATGAGTAACAAAGAAAATTCTCACAATAGAAGTTCACCTTCATATGAAGACAACTTTACAGTTTATAAAACACCTTTATGGGTTGGAGAGCTGCCTCAGAGGTTAAGGGCACTTCTGAGGATCCAGGTCAAGTTCCCAGCACCAATATGGTGGCTCACGGCTCTCTGTAACTCCAGTTCCAGAGGATGCAACACCCTCTTCTGACATAGGCAGGCACATGTTATACACACACATGCAGGCAAAACACTCATATTAAAGAAAGGCATTTAAAATCTTTTAAAAAGTAAAAACAAGGCTGGGCGGTGGTGGCGCATGCCTTTAATCCCAGCACTTGGGAGGCAGAGCCAGGCGGATCTCTGTGAGTTCGAGGCCAGCCTGGGCTACCAAGTGAGCTCCAGGAAAGGCGCAAAGCTACGCAGAGAAACTCTGTCTTGAAAAACCAAAAAAAAAAAAAAAAGTAAAAAGTAAAAACAAAATACTTTTATACCATTATTTCATGAGTCTTCAGCCTCTGAAAAACATGGTGCTTCACTGATGGGAGCAGAAGCAGATGCACAGACAACCCTTAAGAAGTGCTCGGGAGGGCTGGAGAGATGGCTCAGCCGTTAAAGGCTAGGCTCACAACCAAAAATATAAGAAGTGCTCGGGAGTCCTGCAGAGGAGGGGGAGGAAGGATTGCAGGAACCAGAGGGGCCAGGGACACCAATAGAACACATCTCAGAGAATCAACCGATCAGGACTCATGGGGGCTTGCAGAGATCAGGGAGTCTGTAGGGGTCTGACCTAGGTCCTATGCATATAAGTTATGGCTGACTAGCTTGATGTTCTTATGGGATTCCTAACAGTGGGAGCAGGCGCTGTCTCTGATTCTTTTTGCCTGCTTTTGGGACCCTTTCCATCCTACTGGACTACCTCGTCCAGTTCTGATGTGATGGTATGTGCCTGGTCTCACTGTACCTTTTTATGCCGTGTTTGGTTGATGTTGCCCCTGAGAGGCCTGCTCTTGTCTGAGGGGAGGTGGAGGAGAGGTGGATCTGGAGGAGAGGGGGAAATGGGCGTGGCGGGGGGGCACTGGGTGGAGGGAAGGAAGGGAAAACTTCGGTGGAGATGTAATATATGAGAGAAGAATTAAAAACAAAACATAACAAAAAAATTTGTTGCTTCAAACTAGATGGTTAGAAATCTCCTCTATATTCAGTTTCTTTGAGGACTGACCACCTGGAAGCCAAGATCCGAAGAGGGTGTCCCGACTTTGAAATCAGGTTTCTAAGACTGGGGACCATAAGGGACTTCAGAGTCAGTCAGTCTCTCTCTCTCTCTCTCTCTCTCTCTCTCTCTCTCTCTCTCTCTCTCTCTCTCTCTCTCGGTGGATATTTTGCCTGTATGTACATCTGTGCACCACTTGCAAGGCTGGTGCCCACAGAGGCTGCGGGGGCCCCTGGAACTTGAGTTACAGATGGTTGTGAGCCGCCATGTGGGTACCGGAAATAGAACCGGACTCCTAGGGGAAGAGCACCGGAGGAGCTCTTGACCACTCAGTACTCTTAACCACTGAGCCGCCGTGTCTCCAGCCCTTTCAGAGCACTTCCGATTCCCCAAAAGTTGTATGAGAAGGGTGCGCTTGCAAATCTTTGCCATACTCCCTGTGTCTGCTGTGGCAGTCACCTGATCCCAATGTGGCCATTGACGCATAAGTAGAGGAACACCCAGAGGAGAGAGGGGAAACGTCCCCTTGCCCATCTGGAAGGGCAGATGCTCTAGCAGTACGTCCCCTTTACTTCAGTCATCTTAAATCAAGACGGTGACACTCCAGAAGGAAAGGACATAAACATTTCAGAGATGCTGACCTTGATGTCCTCAAAGCTCTGAATCAACACTAACCACCGTTACCTTAAGACTTCTTGTAATACCTGGCAGGGGAGATACCATGCTCACGAAGGTGGTTTTTCCCAGGATGAGGTTTATGCATTGCACTGCAGATGTGTTGACCCCCTGCGATTTCCCCAAATGTGGGAAACTCGACTGCATAATTTGTGCTAGTGTGGGACTGTGTTCTCGCTCTTTCCTGGGGGGGAAAAAAGATTTCTTGTAATGGGGTAAAACAGACCTGTGTGTACATAAACCCTGAAGTGGGTGTTCCATTGTTGTTAGTCCGATGTACATGTGTAGCTGAGAGAGAACAAGAACAAGTTATTTTTCAGGAATTAATGGTTTTCATTATGGAATCAGGGACACTCATGTCAAAGTAATGACAGCACAGACTTCAGATGCTTACCACGGGGTCAATGCAAACAACTAATCAAGAATTTAATTTAAGTACATGGACAACCAATAGCTTCATCCCCCTTGTGTACACACGCACAAAGTTATATATGTTTACACAATCTTGTACATACAGAACATGTGCTAGCACACTGTGCATAAGGTTCCAGGACACGAAGACCTGCATTGGTTACAATGGCTATCTCCTTGCCTCTTGTTTTTACTACCTTCTCTTCTGCTGTATGGCTACTGCCATTGCTAGATATTTTTAGAAAGAAACTTCTTAAGAAGGCTGCTTAAACACTGATCTGGTTGTACCATTTCTCTCCTCCACAGGATGGAACTAAGGGCTGGTACCATGAACTTGGTCAAAAGCCCTTGGCTAAGGAGGTCATAGGCCCTAGTTGGAAAGCTCCTACTGTTATTTTTGCTAAATAGATATGATGTACCTGTTGGATGACCTTCTAAATATTATCTTTATCCCCTGGATTAGTATTACTACCAGCTTTGATCAGTGGGGGTTTCTTTTTTGCAGTGGGCAGCAATAGCTACAGAGAGGGATGCATGACTGGTCAAAGTCCTGACAATGAGTGACTATTGAATGCTCAGCCATAAATGGGACCTCTATACAGCACTGTCCAAGGCTCAGGGAGCATTGTGGAAAAGAGAGCAGAGAAAGTGTAAGAGCCTGGGGACGAGGTAATGTATGGTGGAATGCTGTCTTTCCATCACAGCCATGTGTCTTAGTTAAATTTCTATCACTATGATCAAACACCCAGGAGCAAGGCAACTTATAAAAGAACGTGGTTAATTTGGCTTATGGTTTCAGGGGGCTGGAATCCATGACGGCAGACTGAGGGGACAGTGGAGAGCTCTCATCTGGATATGCAACCATAAGCCAGAGAGACAGACAGACAGACAGACACAGAGACAGAGAGATAGACAGAGAGACAGACAGATACACACACACAAACAGAGAGAGAGAGAGAGAGAGAGAGAGAGAGAGAGAGAGAGAGAGAGAGAAGCAGTGGGTATCATATGAGTCTTTTGAAACCTCAAAGTCAACACCCAGTGACATACTTTCTCCAACAAGGCCACACCTCCTAGTCCTTCCCATACAGTTCTGCCAACTGGGGACCAAGTATTCAAACATACAAGCCTATGAGAGCCATTCTCATTCAGACCACCACACATGGCACTTTTGAACTCATAGTAACTGTAAATTCCCTGGATGAGACCTGCATGAGATCAATATCCTGTCCAGGAACTGGGAGGGGTCCAGGAGGGTCACTAATGGCTGCTAGGAGTTAGAGAAATTCTTTTAGTGGTGTAGCCACTAGTAAGGTGCACATGTTCCTTTAGAAAGCCTTTCACTCAACCTTAATGAAACCTTGATGACTCACTGGTTTGTTAAGAGAGAGAGATATGAAAATAGAAGGACTAGTTTAGAAGAAGAAGCATTATATACATCTACAAAAATGTCATAATGAATCCATTATTATGTATAATTCATATGCACTTATTAAAAAGACAAATACTTTAAGTGTCAAAAAAAGGCCCAAGAAACCTAAAAACAACAACAAAAATCTGCTGTGGATATCACTCTATATAAATAAAACACTGATGGCCAGTGACCAGGCAGGAAGTATAGGCGGGACAAAGAGAGAGGAAAATTGGGGAAACAGGAAGAAGGAGGGAGAGACATTGCAGCCACCGCCAGGAGAAGCAGCATGTAGAGACGCCGCCGGTAAGCCACCAGCCACGTGACAAGGTATAGATTTATAGAAATGGGTTAATTTAAGATATAAGAACAGTTAACAAGAAGCCTGCCACGGCCATACAGTTTATAAGTGATATAAGCGTCTGAGTGATTATTTTATAAGTGAATTGTGGGACTGCGGGGCTTGGGGAACCTGGAGAGAAGCTCTCCAGCAACAAAAATCTTATGTTGTTTCTCCACTACCCATAAGAAAAATTCTTATTTCTTTGAGAAACTAGCCTCAACCTATCAGTTTATCCTTTCTTATCTAACTGCTGTCACCCTTTGCTCTCACCTCCAAACACAAGAGATGATTCCATGACTCTTTGCCCTTCCTCAATTCTTGCCCTCCCCTGGATTACTCTTTCTCATGTGCCTGATGAGCTGCTGACCCTCTACTTAGTCTTCAAACCAGCTCAAAATACCCTAACCCCACAGCCAGAATGAGATCGGAGTTGACTGGGCTGTTGTAGACTCAAGAGTAACAGAAAGTCCATGTTAAATAGACAAGCAAGGTGGAAGCCTGTTTCTTCAGAGACTAGGAGTCCTGAGGTGGCACCAGAATTAGGGGTAGTTGATCCATCAGCCTGACAATAACAGCAAGGCCTCAGGTGTGTCCTGCATTACCCAGCATCTGTATCATTGTGAAGCTGGTATTTCTAGTAACTAAGGGTAGTTGTAAGATGCAACCGAGTTAATATGCTAGAAAGGATGAGTGAAGGAAAACACCAAGACAGTCTCTATCCGCAGTTACAGCTGTGCCTAGAGCACTCATTCCCAAGTTTAAAGAGGACCTTGAAATAATTATCAGATTCTAGAGAGTAGTATAAAGAAACCAGAAGAGAGTAAATAAAAGGAGATTGAGGGAGGAAATGCAAGATGAGAAAGATACTAACAGAAAAGAAAATTTTAAGTACTGATATTATCATTTTATATGATATTAAACACATAGAGGAAATTTAATTCCTAACACCTTTTAATTCCCTTATAACCCTTGGAATTCACAACCTACTAAGGGAGGACGATGGACATGGGATCTACAGTCGGCATTTTCACACTTCCTTACTTGCGCTAATAAAGAATGTCCTGAGGGGCTGGAGACATAGCTCACCAGTTAAGAACACTTCCTGCTCCAGCCTGGTCTACAAGAGTGAGTTCCAGGACAGCCAAAAGCTACACAGAAAAACCCTGTCTTGAAAACAAAACAAAACAACAACAACAATAATGAAAAGAACACCTACTGCTCTTCTAGAGGACATGGGTTCAGTTCCCAGCACCCATATGGTGGTTCACAACTCTCTGTAACTCCTGTTCCAGGGGATCCAATGCCCTCTTCTGACATCCACTGGCACATACATACACACAAAATAAATATTTTTCAAAACAGAATGTACACGGGTACACGACAAGCATGTAGTCCCAGCACTAAGGTGGCCAGCATCCTCCAGGCCAGCCAGGGCAACCTAACAAAAGGGTGTCTCAAAAACAAAGCAACCACAAAAATACAGCAGGAGAGAAAAAAAAGAGAACTAACTTTAGATCCAGTGAGTCTTCTACTAGGATTCTGTCCTAAGGAGAAGATTCTGAAAATGGAAAGGGTTATATGCAAGCAGCTTATTTGGGCAATAGCCATAGTAATAAAGAGTTAAAAATGGGCGTTATTCCGCAGCATAGAATAGTAAACTATGGCATTTTTATAATGAACATGAGTGTTTTTCAGAGGATACTTAGGAAATCATAGTTTGGAAGATGTTTGATACAGTTGTGGCTAACAGTTAAAATTTCAAAATTATATTTGTGATATAATTGCCACCTAAACATTTTATATATTTTTGCTAAAATGCAACAGTTTTTTTCTTTTTTTGTTAGTGTGCACTGTATAAAGTAACTGGTTTCATTATAACATTTTCTTGCATGCATGCATGCGATATATTTAGATCACATTCACACACACACTCCCTTTGTCTGCTCTTGTTCCTATATTTCCCTCCAACTGGTCCCCTTCCTCTATCCAAATACTCCCCCTGTGCTTTTATATCTTTTTTTTAAAGTAGACTCTGCACATGAGGAAAAACATGCAACATTTGTCTTTCTGAGCCTAGACGGTTTTGCTTACCATGATGACTGCCAGTTCTATCCATTTCCCTGGAGGTGACGTGATATCATTCTCCCTTATAGCTGGATTAAACTTCCTTTGACACTTTATTTAGCCATTCATCCATTAAGGGGCACTAGGCTGATTTCATAGATGGACTACAATAATAGTTCCATGATAAACAAGGATATGAAATGCATCAAAATTTTAATATAATTTATGGCGTGTGTGAGTGTGGTATATGTGCATGTGTGTGAGAGCATATTTAAACACCAGAGGAGGGCATTGGGGTTCTCCTTATCACTCTCTGCCTTATTCCTTTGAGACAGGGTCCCTCCCGGAACCTGGAGCTCTTGTTTTTTCAGCAAGGCTACCAGCCAGCCCCCACAATCATCCTGCCTCCTCCCACACACACAGCACTGGCTTTACAGATTCACATGAGACCACACCTTATTATCATATAAAAAGACCACAGCTTATTATCATATAATAAGACCACACCTTATTATCATATAAGACCACACCTTATTATCATATAATAAGACCACACCTTATTATCATATAAGACCA